ATATCGAAATCGTAAACGCCTTCTTCTTGAATTCTGAGATCACAACACAAAGTGTCGTGAATCTTACGGCCGAGAAAGTTCTCCATGTGATTTTTTTTTTTTTTCTGTTTTCCCTTTTTCCTCGTACTGTGGCTTCCAATCAGGATACGTAAGCAAAATGGCCGCCGCTTCCGCTCTGGCTGCTCCTACTGCTTATCCCCCTGCTCGCCTCCCCTCCCCTCCTCGAGCCCCTCCCCCGCCCCTAGTACTTAAGGTTGCGCGCCCGTGGGGACACCTCAACTCTGGGCGGCGCGGCTACCGCTTTCGCCACCAGGGAGGAGTCCCGCGCGGCATGCTGCTGAGCCCCTTACTTGCTGTCCTCCTCCTCCCCTTCCTCCTCTTCTCCTGGCGCCTCCCCCTTCTCTCCCTCCTCCCCTTTTTGTTCCTCCTCCTGCTTTTTCGTTTTCTATGCCTTTGCAAATGAATGCGTAGGGCTGGGGGCCAAAAGCGCCCCTGGGCTTTTTTTGGCACTCTGTCTCACACACATATATATATATATATATATATATACACACATATATACATATATAAATATAGCGAGTGGCGGGCTGTTTTCAATCCTTGTTATTTCCCAGCCCTCCTTGGTTGGGTATTCGTTTTGAATAGAGCACTGTGGTCGCGTCCCTTCTCCTCCCGCCTCCCGCCTCCTCTTGCTCTCTCTCTTCGCCGACGATAGGGGCTGCGATCTGCGAAACGCTCGCCAGCGTCGCCACTTTCGAGGTCTCACACACATATATATATATATATATATATATATACACACATATATACATATATAAATATAGCGAGTGGCGGGCTGTTTTCAATCCTTGTTATTTCCCAGCCCTCCTTGGTTGGGTATTCGTTTTGAATAGAGCACTGTGGTCGCGTCCCTTCTCCTCCCGCCTCCCGCCTCCTCTTGCTCTCTCTCTTCGCCGACGATAGGGGCTGCGATCTGCGAAACGCTCGCCAGCGTCGCCACTTTCGAGGGCTGTTGGTGGGTCCAGCGGAGTGAGGCACCGCGCAGTTCTGAGCGGGACCTCGCCGTGCCTGGGGGGCTGCGATCTGCTAAATGGTCGCAAATTTCGAGGGGTGCTGGTGGGTCCAGCGGAGTGAGGCACCGCGCAGGTCTGAGCGGGACCTCGCCGTCTTTGGGGGGCTGCGATCTGCGAGACCGTCGCAGATTCGAGGGCTGCTTGGGGGGACAGCATAGCGATCGGCGGAATTGTCGCCACTTACGAAGGCTGCTGGCGGGCCCAGCGGAGGGAGGCACCGCGCAGATCTGAGCGGGACCTCGCCGTCCCTGGGGGTCTGCGATCTGCTAAATTGTCGCCACTTTCGAGGGGTGCTGGTGGGTCCAGCGGAGTGAGGCGCCGCGCAGGTCTGAGCGGGACCTTGCCGTCCCTGAGGGTCTGCGATCTGCGAAAGTGTCGCCACTTTCGAGGGCTGCTGGTGGGTCTTGCTGAGTGAGGCACCGCGCAGATCTGAGCGAGAACTCGCCGTGTCTGGGGGGGTGCGATCTGCGAAATTGTCGCCACTTTCGAGGGCTGCTGGTGGGTCCAGCGGAGTGAGGCACCGCGCAGATCTGAGCGGGGCCTCGCCGTCCTTGGGGGGCTGCGATCTGCGAAACCGTCGCAACTTTCGAAGGCTGGTGGCGGGTTCAGCGGAGCGAGGCACCAGGCAGATCTGAGCGAGACATCGCAAGCCTTGGGGGGCTGCGAGCCTCACGAATGCCGCTCGCAAAAGTATATGCGCCCACGTCACTTCATCACCTCCGTATAGCGCCTGCCAAGCTGCTCATGCCCCGCACCGCGCAGGGGTTGGGTGCGTCGCCAGGGTAATTGTTAGGTTCGGGGACGACATCGGGGCGGTGTGGTGTATATTTTTTCCTCGCTTTCCCGGGGGAGCAACGAAACATGTATACACCAGGATCCCGTATACACCAGGATCTGCTTTCCTGTGCGGTTTCAGTGCGGGGCCGGACGCAGCGTCGGTGTATAGAATTCGGCTCCTTATGAAGGGGGCACGACAGGTGCACGTTTCTACCCCCCATTTATCGCCCCCCATTGAACAACACCCGGTGGTCTCACGATTGCGTCACCGAACATGTCACCGTGCTGTATCCCCTCCCCGCAGCACCTGTGGGCCAGGGAGGGCATGAGGGTGACAGAAGATGAAGAAACTCAGAGGAGGAAAAGATACCCATACCGCTGCCCTTCCCTTATTTTTCCCCTCCTTGGGCCTCCTGGGAGGCCCTCGTCTGGATTCGCCTCGAAATTCCGGCCAGAACTCCCCCCAGGAGAGGGCCGTGGAGTAGCTGCATTTTGAATTCAAAAACCAATCTGGCATTGGCGCGCCTGCGGGTGGCACGCCAGGTCTGCGAAGCAGGCATGTAGCAACCAGAGTCGTAAGTAGCAGTGCATGGTGAGGGGAAGCATCAACGCAGCGTGCACCCGAACCGTAAGCATTCTGGCCCGTGAGCCGCCTCGCGTGGCGTGCGTCGCAGCCACCGTACTTTTTGCCTTGATCATGAGAAAGAGCCGTGTATTTGTGTACTTTTGGGTTGCCTCAGAAGTGTGAGGACGGCGCATAAGCTCTGGGCGCAACAGGAAACCATGACCTCGAGGGCCCCTCAAGTGGAGGGCCCGCGGGGGAGAACACGCCGCCCTCGACAGGAGCACTCTGCTTGTTGCTGTTGTGGTCGGCTTGGCCGTCCTGGGTTATGATGGTCCAACCTACTTTAGCCTTGCTCACCAGCAAGAATTTCCACTACCAAGAAAGTACCGAAACTCAAGGATTTCCACGTGTCGGGCCCTGGGAGACGCTCGTCCGACACTGTTTCGACACTGTTCCGACACGTTTCCGGATGCTCGAAATTGTTTCTTGGATGTGGTCTTCAAGTACGATGGGAGCAACATATGTCCTGGGACGTCCCCATCATCGGCATCAACCAGTAGTAAGCTGGCAACGGTGCTCTGACGCTTGGCGTGCACAAGCCACCCCCCAGGGTGTGTCCTCGATGTGGCTGTGGTCGCTTGTTGGGGTGCCCAGGCGCCTGCTTGGCCGGATGGCACCGTCAGCATCGGTTGGCCGAGCCTTTGATTCCCGACGATCGTCTTTTCCGAACGGGGCTCGACGGCTATTTTCCTTGTGGAGGGTGGGACGCTCGGGAGGAAAAGTTTGTGGTCGCTTGCTGTCCCCGCAGAGGCTAGAGTTATGATATTCCAACCTACTTTAGCCTTGACCACCAGACAGAATTTCGAGCACCACGAAAGTACCGAGACTGGAGATTTCTCACGTGCTGGGCCCTGGGAGGCGACACTTGTTCGACACTGTCTCGGTATTTTTATGGGAGTTCGAAATCATTTTTGGGATTCGGTCCTTAAGCACGATGGGAGCAACAGAGGGCCAGAGCGCGTTTTTGCAAAGGAGCCCCAACCCTCCTCGTGGTGAGAGGGGGCGTTGGGCGCGGGCAGAGAGGTCGCCCGTGGCTGCCCGACGCTTGCAACCGCGTGTTCTCCAGCTGTGCGCGTCGGTCGTTGAAAGCAGGTATTGCTGACCTCCCAGGATCATCATCATCAGCATCATCATCATCATCATCACCATCATCACCATCTTCATCAGTATCACCAACATCATCATCACCATCAGCATCACCATCAGCATCACCATCATCATCATAATCATCATAACCATCATCAATATCGTCGTCGTCATCATTGTCATCATAATCATCACCGTCCTAATCATAATCATCAGAATCATAGTCAGTATCATCCTCATCCTCATCCTCATCCTCATCCTCATCCTCATCTCGATCTACTTCAAGCGCCTTCCTACTTCAATAATCGATATGTTTGGACTGTGTCTCGTTGCGCTTTGGGCGGGCCCTATCCCCATCGACTTGATCCGCCCTCCTGCTTCATGCTTCTACCTACTTGTTCCGACCGGCGACTGGCGTGTATTTTAGGTGCAGGGGGATGACGGTCGAGAACCTTTGGATAGCAAGCCGTTCCGCAGGTTCTGGTCCACCACGCTTCGGCGCGACACGCGATCCATCTCCTGGCGAAAAGCCGAATACAAAAAACGCTCACTAACTTTTCTGGCTTCGGGGTCTCCGGGATCCGCAACGCGTGGGCCTCGTGCTGCGGGCTGCCCTCCGTGGGGCCCCGCGCCAGGTCGCCGACCTGTAGGAAACCCTGGGAAAACAAATCCGTGGGGCCCTGCGGGGGCCCGAAGAGAGCCGAGCTCCCCGGGATCGCAGGCCCAGAGATTGACACCAACACCCATCCCACCGAGGGAAGAAGACCCCGACCTCGGCGATGGTGGTCATATCCTGGCTTCCAGGGTGGCCGAAACAGTACCACCTACACCGAAATCTAGGATCATCTCCCCCCTGTGGAGGCAACCCCCTGTGCTGGTGTTGGTGCCCAGTTCCAGGCCTCCAACGGGAGGCCCCAGCTCCCAGCCGCCCCCCCCCTCCAGGGCGGCGGAGGTCTCGGCCCTGGCCCAGCGGCGACGAGGCGCGAGAACGGCGAAGGTCGAAGGACAAGAGTCGGCCACGCGCAGAGGAGGGCAGGCTCCCTGCAGTCGAAGAAGAAAACACGCCAGAAACATAAGCTTTTAGCGCTCCGCGCGGGTTTCTTGGATCCGCGCTGGGCCCCCCCCCAGCGGCGCCTCTGGCGCCGCCCCTGGCGCGCTCCGCGTGCCAAGAAATTCTGAGAGTTCCGCGCGGAGTTTTGATGTTTTTTGTTTGGAAGCAATCTATTTCTATAGAAGCATTCCAGCTTCGTCGAAGGCGCGCGCCTTGTTTGCAGGTGTAGGGCTGGCGCCTTGTGAAGAAGCAGCCTCCTTCCAAGAAGCCTTGCCCCCGCTCCCCCCCTACTCCCCTCCGCGCGCCGCCAAGAAGCACGGGCGCCGAGCAACGACGGACGACGACGACGGAAGAGGAAAGGCACCCAGAAGCCGAGCCGGGGGGCGAGGCAGCAGCACACGCCGAAGGTTACCTTGGTTGTCGCCTCGCCCGTGCGCGTCATGAGCCCCACCGCGGGGCCAGGCGGCGGGTGCAGCAGGCGCCGTGCTCAGGACGAGGAGGGAGTGGGGACCGAGAAGTGCTTTCCCAGACCTGCTCGCGTCGCGGAAAAGTGACGACGAGAGGTGTTTTGTCAGTGTTCCGCCTCTGGAGAACGTCGACCGACCCAACAACAACGATTAAGGATGAACAACTGGCCTTGGGGCAAGAAAGGGTCGGGGCTTCCTGAGACCCGTATGGGACAAAAGGGATACATCGGATGTCTTGGGGTGGGGCGACGGCGACCTCCCTCGTCTCCTCCCCCTTCTCCTTCTCCTTCTCTTCACGGATTTGTAGGAGGGGTGCAGCCCCAAATCGGGCTCTCGTGTGTAAGATACGCTCTGCGAGGAGCCAGCGAGCTCTCTCATAACTCACTGCTCGGCCGAACCATATCCCGAACCATACCCGCCTCCGGAGGCCTCCTGCGCGTTGGAGCGCGCGGGAGTAGGAGGGTCGATGTTTGTTTGAACGCAGGGGGTGTCCGAATGCCAATTTTTGAGCGCAGGAGGTGGAGGGGGAGGAGAACGCGGAGAACGGGAGTACGAGGAGGAAGAGGAGAAGGTGTGAGGGCGAGGGAGGAGGAGGAGGAGGAGGAGGAGGAAGAGGAGGAGGAGGAGGAGGAGGAGGAGGAGGAAAAGAGCGGCAAGGAGTGATGACGCTGAGGATGAGGAGGTGTCGGAGGAAGAGGGACGCAGAGGAATTGAAAGACAAGGCGGCAAGAACATGGGAGATGAGGATTTTCGGTAGTGGAGGAAGGCGGCAGGCGGCTCGTTGGCGGCCTGGAGTTTCGCGAGGAGTTGGTACCGAGAGGGATTTCTTGTAATTCTAGTTGTTGGTGAAGGTTCCTGCAGTGCGTTATCGATTTCCGTGTTCGTTGTTTCTCTCTGCGGCCGCTTTTGTTTTCCCCCAGGCTCGCGATTTCAATTCGGCTCGTCGCATCCCGATCTAGGCCCGCCCGCGCCGTGCGATCGCAGTCGGTTGGTGTTTCTCTCGACCGCGGCATGCCCGCGCCGCGACAAGATCGCTGGTGCTTCTCTTGTCTTCCACATGCTGCGGTGAGCCCGCCCCGCATCGACGAGCCGTTCGAGGGGGAATTGGGCTTGACAGCAACGCTGAGTATCGAGGTGGTGCGCATCAGGAATTGTTGTTGCATGGTTCTCCTGCCCCGAAGGTCGTCGCATGAGGCGTTCCAGAAATGGCCTTGCCTTCGATCGGGAGTGGACAGGACCCCCACCGTGACACGTCGATTAGTGGATTGTCCGTTTTCAGTTCTCGAGAGGACGACGTGGCCGTCATTTTCCAGGCTTGCGCCCGCCAGGTGTGGGCCCGAGGTCGTTTTCACTAAACCACGTTTTACTAAAGGGGGTTCTATCCATCCCCGGTTCGAGGATCGAAGGAGTTGCCATCTCTTCCGCTGCGGAGGGCGGCGGAAGTTATCCGAAGCCGCTTCCGCCAGCGGAAGCTGGCGGAAGTTCGGCGGAAACCAGCTGAAGCATAAGTCGACTTCCCAAGAGATGACAACATGTTTTGGGGTGCAGGGTTTCCGAAATCGGTCATATGTCCAACAACGGCACCGTGGTCGGAACACGAGGCGGCACGTGACGTGCAGGATGGAATGCAGCGCTATCGCAGGATGCTCTGGTACAGTGATCGGTGAACGATTACCGATTGCCCCAGCGAAGCACTAGCTTTAGGGTGCTATACTTTCCCTGGCGCGTCCTACGGCACGTCCGTTGACGCATCCCAGCGGCCTTGGCGCGCCTTCGGTGCGCTGAGGACTTCGACGTTGGGCTGAGTCGTGTCGGTTTTGCATCACGTCGTAGTCTTCGTGCTACTGCCCCAATCCTCCTCTTCCGCCGCTGTTTCCGTATGGCTTGACCACGTGCGTGTTTGGTCGCAACCACAGTTGAAGTGCGCGGGCGTGTCTATCCTTTGGATTGGACAATTCGTTCCCAAGATGTCATCGTGACCTGGCGCCGCATACGTGAGAGTAATATGCCACGCGTTGTATGAAGCATGCTCGTATCATGATAACCCGAATGCGCTCACACATGCGTTCCGGACCTGCGCTGTATATACACATATGTATGTATGTATATATATATACGCATTTGAAGACTGACAATTGGATTGCACATGTATATGTACTCACATGCATATGCAGTGTTACTCGTACACACCTTTAATGCGTCTGGCAATAGCGCAACCCTGGTGAGGTAATATGTTCGCATTGCCGAGCCCAGTAATGCTGAGGTAACACCACAAAAGCGAGCATGTACCAAACGCGCTCACCACCATCTACGCAGATCGAGTGGAATGAAAGAGCGGGCATTCAGGCATGATTCCGAACATCGTGTGGGGTGCAAGCGAGTCAAATCCAGGATGGAGGGCTTTGGCCAATGCGTTTGTATGCGAGGTGCGCAAGGAGGCACGGGAATGGTACCTTGTACGATGTTCGCCTGGAGATACAGCGTAGCGCCCCCCCCAGGGGGTGCGGCGACGAGAACGCCAACTGTTTGCGATTCGATGAACTCGAGTGGAATCTGACATTCGTGCGCTTGAGAGCCTGTCCGCCAGTACCCCCAACTCGTGCGACGCACATGGTAGAGTAATCAGGAGTGGTGTTGGCTGGTTTTCTGACGGCATGCATTGCATTACAGCCGAGGTTCCAATACATGCGCCTGCAGATGGGTCTCACCTCAGACCGCAGCCGTGCATCGTCGAGTACAATGTTTCACGCTTGTCTCGCAGCGCGAAGGCCACAAATCTGGTCTCGCATTATGGCTATTTATCTTGGTGCCCTGCAAGGAGCGGTATGCAAATCGGGCGCTGCACAGTTCACATGGCTGCGTCTTCGCAGTCTTGCAGCATCTGGCGCATACCCGCAGCTGCGGCTGAGACTCTCTGTTGGGGATGAACAATTCTGGGAGCATCGGCCCGAAAGGACTGCGGAGTCGCTTTGGAGTCCCCCTCCCATCAATTGGGAAGTAAGAAAGCCCTCTCCCTGGCGATGGCGGGCGTGGTTTCGCTGTGCCATCTGCTGAGAGAGGAGCAGACGCCAGCGAGCGGATCTCGCGCTCTCGCACGAGACCTCCTCACAATGGCGAGTCGTGTTCTTCCTGAGGCTTCTTCACACCAACGCCCCCCCCCCCGCCCGTTGGGTTTCAGCCTGCCCGACCCGCCTGTCAGGGTCCGCCCGCCCGGCCCGCTCGTCAGGGTCCGCCCGCCCGACCCGCCAGTTTTAGGGTCCGCCCGCCCGTCCCGCCCGCCAGGGCTCGCCCGCCCAGCCGGCCCGTTAGGGTCCGCCCCCTCGCCTGGAGGGACGCCCGCGCGGTCGACTTGGTGTCCCGCTCGCCCGACCCGCCCATCGGGGCCCGTCTTCCCGACTCGCCCGTCGGGTCCGCCCGCCCGACGCGCCCCTTGGAGTCCGCCTGTGGCAGGCCGCCTGCGCACCGAGGGGGGGCGGTGAACGGAGGCAGGCCTCCTCGGGAGGCGGCGGCTCCGTGGCTGGCTTCGGAGAAGGCCGGTGGCCCTCTGAGCCTTGTGAGCAGGCCCGCCCCCTCTGCCGTCCCCGCATGTGCGCGCCGCCATCCGTCCTGTGTGACTTGGGCCCTCTGTGCCGTCTGCGTTGTCCCCCCCCCTTGCGTCCTGGGGCTGCGAGATTGTGAAGGCCTGACGGCCGGTGCCGCCGGCTCTGAAAGACATCGACGACGACCAGGAGGGGAGGAGGAGGAGGAGGAGGAGGAGGAGGAGGAGGAGGAGGAGGCGGAGGGAGGAGGAGGAGGAGGCGGAGGAGAAGGAGGAGGAGGAGGAGGAGGCAGTGATAAGGAGGAGGAGGCAAGGCTGCAGTGATAAGGAGGAGGAGGAGGAGCAGGAGGAGGAGGAGCAGGAGGAGGAGCAGGAGGAGGAGGAGGAGGAGGAGGAGGAGGAGGAGGAGGAGGAGGGGGAGGAGCGTCCTAGGGCTATGAGATTTGGAGAGGCAGGCTCCGGACCCGCCTCGCCCACCTTGCACACACCGCGCCCACCGGGCCCCCCCAGGGCCCCCGCGCTCCGTGGGCGTCCCGCCTCGGCGTCCTTCGACGAAAGACGACTGCATGCCGCGGCGGCCAGGCCCTAAGGCTCCCCACGTGTTGGGGGCATCCAGCCTCGCGCTCTCGGGTGGGGATCGCGCGAGGAGAGGCCGCGGGGGGAAGGGAGCCCGGGGCCTCCGGGGGTCCGCGCTGTAGAGAAATCGCGGCGTCGACGGAGGCCCGCGCAGCGCCGCCCACGGCACCGAGGGGGGCGAGCGGACTGCAAGCCATCAACGACTCGGTCCGATGGGCGGACGTCGACTGCTTCGACACGTTCCAGCTCAGGAAGTCTGGGCCTCCTAGATGGGGTCGGAGTAGGTGGGGTCGGAGGATCGCGCCGCATCGCCGATGCGTCGCCGGTGCGGCTCGGTGTGCAGCCCGCTTTGCTTCACGTCGACGTCGCCGATGCATCGCCGACGTCGACGACGCATCGCCGGTGCATCGCCGATGCATCGCCGATGCGGCGCGATCCTCCGACCCCACCTACTCCGACCTCATCTAGGAGGCCTCGAGGAGTGTGGTGAGGCAGCGGCGCCCTCGGCCCGCGACGGCTTGCCCGCCCGATCTCGCGGCTCTGGCCTCTTGCGCCCTCGCTGCGGTCGATGGCGCGCGTCGCTGCGCGGCCTTGGCCTGCCAGCCGCGCATGCGCAGTCCCAGGCAGGATCCTCGCGTCCGCAGCGAAAGACTCATCCCGTCCGGGGGAGCAATCTCGCAAGCTGGGCCCTGAATCTGTGGGGGGCGTGCGTGCGCCGCCGGCGCAAACCGCAGGCGCACCGCATCGGGGGAGGGGGACCACTCTCGCTGGACGGATTGTCTGCTTCTTTGGGGGGCTGGGGCTCGGCATTTTCTGTTGGGGCGCGTGGAGCACAAGCGGTTGCGCCAGGGCGCGATTGCCAGAACGTCGGGCGACGCGGAATGAGTTCGGGGACAGTTATTGACACACTGTGTTTCCACTGTTTTACCTTAAGTCGGGCCTGTCCTTCTACAGGGGGGGGCACTCAAACATTGTCAAAACATAGTTTGAGGACGATGTTCGATTATTTTTCAATTTGTTTGAAACATTTTCTGAGTATTTCGAATTCTGCTCCCAAAATCACCCTGTAGGGGGACAGGCCCGATCTACGTTTTGCCTAGCCATAGGGTTCCTGGGGGCGCGACGGGGCGCGACGTGTCTCGATGCATATTGGCGTTTACAGGCCCGTGGGGGCCAGAGATCTGATGTTCCAATCTGCTTGAGGCTTGATCACCAGCAAGAGTTCCGAGCGTCAAGAAAGTACCGAAACTGGAGAGGTTTCGCGCGTCGGGCCCTGGGAGGCGATACTCGTTCGACACCGTTTTGATGCTGTCCTGTTAGCTCGGAACTGTTTCTGGGATGTGGTCCTTAAGAACGATGGGAACAACAAAAGGCAAGAGGTTTCTTCCAGCGAAGGCATCTATACACCACCACCGTGCCAGGCCAGGGCCATCCTGGGCCCCAGGATGGTGTATAGACCCTCCTGGCCTCAGCCAGGATGGCGTATACACCATCCCAGGGCCCAGGATGGCCCTGGCATGGCACGGTGGTGGTGTATAGATGCTTTCTGCGTATTTCTGATTTGGGAATAACTGCTGCAGTTCCCTCGGGCTCGGAGACGTGACCCCGAAACGGTCGGGTGCCGATCCGCCGGGGGATCGAGTGCGGGCAGTTTGGGGGGTCTCCATCTCTCGGCGGCGTTCCCCTGGAAGGATGCCGTGCGGACTGCTCTCCTCCCATCGGGTTAGCCTGCGCGCTGATATAGGCCTCGGAAAAACAGCGAGCACTCGTGCCACATTCACCTGTCAGCGCCTTCCCCTCCCCCCAATGCTCAAAGTTGGCGTTGGGTCTGATGAGTTGCATCTCGACCACAGTCTCCCCCGCGCGTGCCAACTTTGAGTTTTGGGGGGAGGGGGGGTGTTCAGTTATTGTTTCCCTCTACAGTATGTTCCGTTCATCGTTCGTGCGGTAAACGTGCGGAAATTAGATTGACATATATTTTGACCCCATTTGTTCGTCAGTTGGTTGCAACGCGCGCACCGATGCATTGACTCTTAGGCGAAGCGATTTCGCATTGTCAGACGTTGGTTGCAAGGTGGATGGAGCTGGTGACAATAAACAATGGCAGGGTTAATCATTTCGCCACGCATCGTGGACGGGCGGTATCGTTGGTCGCCTAGCAAGCCAGCTCAGGCTTCCGGGTCAGTGTCGCCAATCAGGTGTTGTCCAGTGGTGTCGTGTGACGTTCCCAGTTCTTCCATTGGTGTGTCTGTCTCACGTCGTGAAGCCACTGGGTGGTGGTTTCCGGTGGAAGATGGAAAGCAACACTCGGACTTTGCCCTGGAGTTCTATATTGCTTTTGTGCAAGAAGGCTGGTGCCGACCGTCGCCTTTCTCTGCGAGGCCCTCCGGGGGCTCCCTGGGGTGCCTCGAGGCTGCCGGGTGGCTACCTGGGGCCATCCAGGGTTGTTCTGGTGTGCATGTCCGGAGCTCCAAGTGGCACCCCTTCCCCCGACCACGTCGGAGGTGAGGCAAGCATGCCGAGTGGGTGCCGCGACTCACCACCCACCAAAGCACCAGCCCGACCCGAAGATTCAAATTAACCTTCGGTTTCCAGGGGGGGGGGGGTCGGGGAGCATCGAAAAAACACTATCACTACCTGGGGCCGTTCTGGTGTGCGTGTCCAGAGCCCAGAGTGGCACCCGTTCCCCCGACCGCGTCGGAGGTGAGGCAGGCAGGCCGAGTGGGTGCCGCGACTCTCAGGAGGGGAAGAAACACACAGACACAATTAATCGTTGACCCCCAGGAAAATATTGGAAAATACGGGGAGTGGGGAGGAAGACGAAAACCCAGAAAATATGGCGAAATATGGGGAATCCTGGGAATTGTCTGTATTTATTTGCGTGTCCCTGGGCCCCTTTAGACTCACCGCCCACCAAAGCACCCCAGCCCGACCCGAAGGCCCAAGTTTACCTTCGATTTCCAGTGGAGGGGGGGGCGGAGAACATCGACAAAAAACACATGTGGAGCCCGTACCCCACCGCCCCACCCGAAAAATAGGTCTTCGGGTTAGGTTGGGGTGGGTTGGTAGGTAGTCAGCGACTGGGGGTGAGATGTTTGGTAACAGCCAACGCTCCAGCGCCATAGCAGAAGGGCAACAAATATTTGAATGCGCCGTGTTGCGTGTGCCTGCCTTGAAAATAAGAGCATTGAATTGCTTTGAGGTGCGTCACATTGCGTTGATGTGTTACGCTATTGAAACTTGATGTGCAGTGTGTGTATATACATACATATATATATATATACAATTGCGCGCGTCGCGTTGCAATGGTACTCCTTGTTTCACCTTATTTCTGCTATACGTGATGCGCGCCGTTACTTTCTCTAGCCTTGTCACACAGGGTCGTGTATTATTTGTATTGGTTTGGGGCTGTTCTGCTTTGAGCGCACGGAATTTCTGTACACTGCGTTGCTTGGATCTTGGAGGCTTCGGAGGCGGCCTCTTGGACGACTTTTGAAGGCTCCTTTCCCTTGGGGAGATATCTGCTGGTTTCCTGGGTGCCTCTTGGTGGTGTGTTAGGGGTCTGGGGGGGCATCTTTTCTCGGCACGGGCTCCCAGGGCCCCTGTGAGTTCCCCCTCTTGGGGCTCTCTTGGGCCCCTCTTGGGCCCCTGTGAGTTCCCCCTCTTGGGTTCTTTTGAAGACCTTTTTGGCCGTCTTGGGGGCCTCGTGGGCCGTCTCGGGCGCCGCTGTGGGTGTCTCTGAGCCTTCTTGAAGGCGTCTTGGGCCGTCTTGGGCAGATCGGGCTTTCTGCTGTCCGAAAATGCGAGAACGCAAACACGAACCAAAAACATTGTGGAGTTCATTGATTGCTGTTTGATGCCCTCTTGATGGCCATAGTTGGGGCCCCCTCGGGACGTCGTCGGGGCCTCCCCCCAGCGCGCTGCCATCCACGGAGGGTGGATTTGGAGACTCCGAAGGCCCCAGAGGTGTCTTGACAAGCTCCTCGCCGCCACCCACAGGCGAAACCAGGAAGAGGGAGCAGCCCATCATATCACCACACACCTCATCAAACCGGCAAGCGGTTGTCGCTTGCGTTTGAATTGCTCCGTATCGTTTCGCATTGTGTTGCGTTGCATCGCATGTTTTTGCATTACTTTGCATACGTGGCTTGGTTAGAGAACGTAGTGCTGCGCATTGCTGTGTATTGTTTGTCGCACCGCGTTGTGCTGATGTGATTCATTTCTGCTGTATCAAGGTATAGATGCTTAGCTGGGTTACTTGCCATTGCCTTGCTGGGGCTTGTCACGTTTCGCGTATAGCTGCTTTGTTTTTATGATCGGTTTCAATCAAGGCGGCCCCTACTTTTATTCTTTTCGTCGCAGAACGTAGCAGGCAGACACGGGCAGGAGGTCAAAGAGGAGGAGGAGGAGGAGGAGGAGGAGGACGACGACGAGGGGGACAAGCAGCAGCGGGGAGTGCACGAGGTGGAGCTGGAGACAGGGACGATGTGGTGAGGAAGTGAAGGGACGATGCCTGTGCACCAGAGAGTGAGGCAGGGCAGGCTGGGGCCTCGGGGGGGCGGGGGCATATTTGGAAGGGAAGTTATGCTCTCACCGCCTCAGGGATGGTATCATCTGTCCCCTGTCGCTGATGACGCCCCGGCTACTGAGGTGCGATATGAACTTCCAGCTCAGGGGCTGCCGCTCCTGGCTGGACGGCAGGCGTGTCGGGGCCAAGAGGGGCCCTGTCTACGGTCGGGAACTTTTGGGTAGCATGTCGCTTCGCCATTTCTGGCCCACCACGCCTCGGCTCGACACGCTATCCACTTCCCAGGCCCCCCTTCGTCAGCGTCTCGAGCCTTTCTGAGCCTCTCGCCCTGCGGGGCGGGGTGACACGCTAGCCGCTTCCGGGGCACAGCGGGTCGCCTGGTCCCTGTGGCGACACAGAATCCCAAAGTTTCTGACCGTAGCCCCCTGGGTTGTCACAGGTGTGTAAGGCTTCGGGTTGCACGTGGGCAGCTCCCAATATTTGGCGATCCAGAAAAAGTCTTGCCTTCGAGGGCAAGACGAGTTGTCATCTCTTCCGCCGCGGAAAGCGGCGGAAGGTCGGCGGCAGTAAAACGAGGCGGCCCCCGCTGGCGGAAGCGGGCGGAAGCTCGGCGAAAGGCGGCGGAAGCACAACAAATGCGTCCCCAAGAGATGAAACCGTTTTTGGGTTCAGGGTTTCCGGAATCCGCCATGTAGGCCCAGCTGGCCTCAGCAGGCCCCCCGAGCAGCCAGGGGCGGTCTCAACAACCCCAGCTTGGGGAGCGGAGCGCCCCAGGGACGCCGACGGAGGCAGCACCACGGTGCTGGGACCGCTGGGACTACGCGGGGTTCTGTTGAGGCCAGATGGGACCTTTCCGGGGGCCAGTTAAGACCCGCTGGGACTACCTGGAGGGGCCGGGGGGGTCTGCATGTGTGCAGCCCGAAGCATTGCTTTTTGCACAGCTGCGCACTGTCTTTCCGACCCGCCCTCCGCACAGCAGCGCATCCAACGTGATTGTTAGCAGGGCGTCGCCATTTGCCGCCGGACCCCCCTTCGAATTGCTTGCATGGCCGATTCGGTTGCTGGTTGATTGGATGATTGGCTGGTAGACTGGCACTCGGCTGGTTGGCCTGGCGTCTGGATGGACGTTTCGCACGTCGGTTGGGTTGACCAAGCCAGTTGCTAAAGCGTTGGTTCGCAGGCTTGCTCGTTGGCGTGGCGGCTGTGCGGGCTCGAAGCCCAGATCCATTGTTTTTCTAAAAGAAGTCGTCGCCTCGGGAGCGCGGACCCATTTTTGTCAACAAAGGGTCTGTTGGCTTCGGAATCGGCCCCCGCAGTTTTTTTATGAGGGCCCGTGGCCCTGGGAGCGCGGCCCCTTGTTTTCCCCAAATCCAAAGTGAGGCTCCCCACGTGTCTGAATGTATTCACGCGCGCGCGCTTTCTGAAGGCACTTGCGAACTTGCAATCGTAGGAATCGGCATGGTGCCACATAGCATACTCACGTATCGCCACGCACACATTTATCATATCGTGACGTTGGGCGGCATGATGTTGAATGCCTTGTCCTTCTGTGCATGGACCTCTCATCTCGCCGATATCCTCTGCACAATCGTATAGGCTAATCCCTTGGGGAGTTTAAACAGATTGTGAATATCATGACTCGCCACCATTTCCTTGTTATTCCCCTAAGTCGGGTGCCTAGGAGGAGGTTGTGGCGCAGAGATTTCGTGCACTGGAGTGTACAGTCACCGTATAAGTTGTGTGAGGTGCTGTGTGGAGCTCGCTTTCATTTGAAAGCGCGAGCCTCTGCACGCGCACTCAGAATTCTCCAGAGTGGCGATGGGGCTGTGGCATAGCAGCGGCGTTGTTCTCGAAGGCCCTCCACATGGGCGAAGGTCGATCACGAGGCCGACTGCGCGGGCATTCTCGCGCAAGCTTCCCGCATGGGGTCGCACGTGAGCGCCCTCCTTCTCCTCTCGGTGTGCCGCGCTGGCGGCCCGCGGAGGCCGCGGCGTACATTCGCGGCGTCTTCTCGCGCCAGGCAATTTTCGTTTCGGCATTCCTGGGGGGCAACACACACACATACACATACACATACACATACACATACACATACACATACACATACACATACACATACACATACACACACATACACACACACACATGCACACAAAGAACACACACACACTGTGTGTTTTTTTTCCCACAGTGTGTGTTTTGTGTGTGTGTGTGTTTCCCACAGGCGTTTTGGAAAAGCTGCGGGTTGGGGTGGTGTGTGTGTGTGGGGGGTTCTGCTGGCCGCGCGCTGCGGTTGCGGCGCCCCGTCCGTGCGCGTGCGTTTATGACATGTAGTGGCTTTCGGCCCATCCCGCCACCGTGCTTGGATTGTTGGTATAAAGCATATTGGATGTTCGTTGGGGTCTCGTGGGGGGCCTCTCCGTGGCCTTGGAGGCAGTTCTGACGCCTCTTGGGGGCCGTTTGGGGGGCCTCTTGGGTCCTCTCTTGGGCCTCGAGGCCTCCTCGAGCCTCTTGGGGGCCTCTTGGGACCTCTGGGGGCCTCTTGGGGCCTCTCGGGCGCCTCTTGGGGCCCCCTGGGGGCCGGGGCTCTGATTTCCGCTTCGTGTTCCCCCTCTTGTGCCTTTTTGGGGGCCGTCTTGGGGTCCCCGTGGGCCGTCTTGAGCGCCTCGTGGGCCCTCTTGGGGCGCCCTTAGGTAGTCTTGGGGCCCTTTAGGATGCCTTTTGGGCCGTCTCTTGTGGGCCTCTTGGGTCGTCTTGGAGCGTCGGACAGCCAAAAAGGCGAGAACGCCAACATTCTCCCAAATCCTGTGGAGGATCACTGATTCTTACCTCTTATGCTTCTTGTGGCGTCTTGGAGGCCTCTTGGGCCATCTTGAGACCATCTTGGGCGTCTTGGAGCGAAACATTCGGCGACTCGGGGCCCTCTTGGATTCATGGGAGGGTTCGGGAAGTCGGTTTGGGGGTGGCACAGCGTCCACAGGCGGAGCAGGACACACCTCAAAACTCACGGGAGCCAGCCTGGGAACCCCCGGGAATGCTTGGGACACGATTGGTCCAGGCTCTTACAGCCTTGCAGTCTTCGTTGCAGCAGCAGCAGCAGCACCGTGTCTACCTCTCAGTGCTGCATGATCTTTGGGGCGCTCCACTTCGTGTTAGAGGAACGGTGGCGGATTTCTGGCTCCCGACACGTCGCGTATGCACATCCCCGCTTCGATTAGCGGATCTGCTTTTGGGTCGGCCAGGGTTTCCAGGAGTTGTTACGCATGACGGTCGTCGTTGGCAACCACGCCGCCCATGTTTTACCTCTTTTTGCCTCCGCTCCTCCTCCTCATCTTCCTCCTAGTTCCCGTGTGCCCCATTATTGGCTTCTCGGTTTCGCACATCGTCGGTTGCACGCGCTACGAAGCAAGCTCAGGGACCTTGCGCTTGGTTGTTTGAACTGCGTGGTCGCTGTTGAGGGGGAAGGCATCTCTCGCCCCCGAGAGGCAGTGGCATAAGCGCGTGATCCTGTACAACGGGATAAGCGTCTGGCTGGGAAACTTCAAGTGTCTCAACCGCTGGCCGGAAGGCATGGCGGACGGCGAGTGCGAGCCCGTCACGATGTTCAGATGAGTGAGGGCTGAGGCGGATCGACGCGGACGCGTGCCTGACAAACAAGCCCTTACGGGTGTCCGCCTGCGTTGCATTCTCTTCTCAGTGTGGGCACCCGCCTGCCCCATTTGGCGCAAGGCACTGGAATCAGTTTCGACCCTGAGCAGACAAGGAACATCCCAGGCTGAATCGATGACGCCTGCCTGAAGGGCAGACGCCAGTAACGGACCGCGGCGTTGGACCACGAGCTCCGCAGTCGTCGCTAAGACCGCGTGCATTTGGCTCCCGGGAGATCCTGTGCCAGATCTTGTAGACAGTTCCCAGCATCCTCTGTGCCCTATTTCATCGCACCCTCATCGTGTCCCCCGTGTTTCCAACAGTTCTTCTCCTCCACCTTTAGTATACGTAACACCCCGCAGTTGCGGATAAGAGTGCGGGAGCGGCGGGAACGTCGGCAGTCTGCGAGGCTCTAAAAAAACCGCCGCAAGCGCCTAATTTCAATAGATTATACAACGAGCCTGCCGCAGGCGCTTTTTTTCGGTAGAGCCATGTGGGTGAGTCGTGAGTGGGCCGCGGGTGGGTCGCGGGTGTGTTGCGGTTAGGTTGCGGGCTTGGTCGCGGGTGGGTCGCAGATGAGGCGCGGTCGGGTCGCGGGGTGGGTCGCGAGTGGGTCGCGGATGGGTCGCGGGTGGGTCGCGGGGTGGGTCGCGGGTGGGTCGCGCGTGGGGCGCGCGTGGGGCGCGTGGGGCGCGGGTGGGTCGCGGGGTGGGTCGCAGGTGGGCCGCGGGTGGGTCGTGGGGTGGGTCGCGGGTGGGACGACGACAATAAACAACAAACACAGCAACAACAACAGTCCACACCGCTCACTTCAGCCACGCGACCAGGGACAGTGAATGACCGTTCGGCCCGCTCACTCTGACATCCCCCTCTCATCACTCCTCATTCATACTTTCTCATCCCCTCTCCAATAATCCGTAAGGGCTTCGCCCCCTGCCGCCGGCCCTCCTCTCTCTTGGAGAATGGGCCATGGAAGAGCGAAGTCATGAAGCTTTGGCTTCGCCGTGAAGCAGTGTCGGAGCCTGTTTGTTTTTTGACCCTGACCCTGCGGATCTGCGTGAGGGGTGCCGCCGAATTTCAGAAATATGGCAAATCCTTTCTGTTTTTGGACCCTCACCCTACGGATCTGCGTGAGGGGTGCCACCGAATTTCAGAAATGTGGCAAATCCCATGTGTTTTTGGACCCTGACCCTGCCGATCTGCGTGAGGGGTGCCGCCGAATTTTAGAATTGTGGCAAATCCCAAGTTTTTTCGGACCCTGACCCTGCCGATCTGCGTGAGGGGTGCTAGGAAATTTGACAGAAATGTGGCAAATCCGAAGTGTTTTTGGACCCTGACCCTGCCGATCTGCGTGAGGGGCGCCAGGAAATGTTACAAAAATGTGGCAAATCCCATGTGTTTTTGGACCCTGACCCCGCCGATCTGCGTGAGGGGTGCCATCGGTTTCAGAAATGTGGCACATCCCACGTGTTTTTGTACCCTGACCCTGCCGATCTGCGTGAGGGGTGCCACCGAATTTCAGAAATGTGGCGAATCCCGTGTGTTTTTGGACCCTGACCCTGCCGATCTGCGTGAGGGGTGCCACCGATTTTCAGAAATATGGCAAATCGCAAATGTTTTTGGACCCTGACCCCGCCGATCTGCGTGAGGGGTGCCAGGAAATTTTACAAACATGTGGCAAATCCCATGTGTTTTTGGACCTTGACCCCGCCGATCTGCGTGAGGGGTGCCATCGGTTTTCAGAAATGTGGCAAATCCTATGTGTGTTTGGACCCTGACCCCGCCAATCTGCGTGAGGGGTGACAGGACATTTTAGACATGTCGCAAATCCCATGTGTTTTTCACAACCATCCTGTGGTAGTGGGTCCTCGTTTTGAGGAGACGGTCGCCGCGTTCCTCCTTCTCCTCCTCTTCCCCCTCCTCCCTACCGTCCGCATGCGTCCCGCACACCCAGTACAGCGCTTCGTGGCCCCATAGGGAGCCCCACCGAAGGTCCCAGTGCTACTGTCCGCATGCGTCCCGCACACCCGGTACAGCGTTTCGTGGCCCCATAGGGAGCTCCACCGAAGGTCCCAGTGCTACCGTCCGCATGCGTCCCGCACACCCAGTACAGCGTTTCGTGGCCATCCTCTTCCTCCTAAGTGCGTTTCACCCACCCAGTACAGCGATTCGTGGCGCCATAGGGAGCCCCACCGAAGGTCTCAGTGCTACCGTCCGCATGCGTCCCGCACACCCAGTGCAGCGCTTCGTGGCCCCATAGGGAGCCCCACCGAAGGTCCCAGCGCTACCGTCTGCATGCGTCCCGCACACCCAGTGCAGCGTGTCGCGGCCCCATAAGGAGCTCCACCGAATGTCCCAGTGCTACCGTCCGCATGCGTCCCGCACACCCAGTGCAGCGCTTCGTGGCACTCCTCCCCCTCCTCCCCGCGTTTCACCCACCCAGTAGAGCGCTTCGTGGCCCCATAGGGAGCCCCACCGAAGGTCCCAGTGCTACCGTCCGCATGCGTCCCGCACACCCAGTACAGCGCTCCGTGGCCCCATAGGGAGCCCCACCGAAGGTCCCAGCGCTACCGTCTGCATGCGTCCCGCACACCCAGTACAGCGTGTCGCGGCCCCATAAGGAGCTCCACC